TCGTTCATTTCCAAAAAAAAAAAAAAAAAGGTTGAACCCTAGCCTTGAGGGTCTCCACCGCCCTGCCTCTGGAGATTTGTGAGGGAGGTAAATCGCGGGATGTGCCCCACCAGGCCGGGGAGCAAGAGCTGTCTGTACACTGCGCCTACAAGGAGTCCAATTCCATGTCTCATGAATTAAATCCTCATACTGCGGCTGCCAGCATGACATGAGACAACTTCACTCATATTCTTTGCACCATTAGATTATGTCTCGGGGGTCTCTTTCGTTTATTTCTATTTTGGCCAACGAAGGTTGGAATGGTCACCCACAACACAATTTCCCATTACCTAACGATGATTTTACGGTGCAAACTATTTTTAGGTCCTTAAATAATCAAACTATGTAATTGAATTCACGCAATTAAAAAGTTGTAAATGTGAGCAAGTTGGATTAACGAAAGCTAATGAAGATTCTTTTGTTGAAAATGACTTTTACCTGACCAAATATTCCATCATGCATTATATCTCTTAATAGGTATATTCTTCTTATGAAAAATAATACATAAACAAGTTACAATATTTTGATCCATTGAGATTTTGAAATATCATGCCCTTCTAGGTTCGTTACATGATCAATTCGATCAAGGTTTTCGTAGTTTTGACTTCTCTTCTACTAATTACAATGCCTCATGTGAGAACTTGGTGGTCAAATTTAATTTAGCAATCAAAAGAGGGCCCAAAATTTATGTACGCTAAACTTCATAATTTTATCTAAAGAAAATAGTTTTCATCGTTCAGAATTTTATAAAATTATTTATTTTCATTAAAAACTAAGGAATCGGGTTTAATACTGATTTGGATTTTGACATTTTATTCATTACATTAGTATATTTGCTGCATCACGATTAGCGTGACGATATATCTGATTGCTATAAGTATTTTTCTTGAACACTACAATTGTAAAAAAAAAAAATTGAAGATAATCTAATACCCATTTGAAAAGATACTGAATGTTTTATTTTATTAAAAAATTTTATAACAAAAAAAAGATTCAAACGAAGGACGAGCAGATCCAATAAGAACTTGGGTGTTTAAATTTGACCGGTGAGGAAATCGCACTTTCTCTAATTTATTAAAATTTGACTGGTGAGAAAATCGCACTTTCTCTCCACCACAACGCTGTTTTCGACGAAAATGCTGATTCAAGTGACCGTTATCATGTCATTCACGCCAAGTCACATCATCCCAAAACACGTCCAGGTTCAATGAACCTGGAAAGGCCACCCCTCTCTTCATTTCCCCTTATTTATATGTTTTCTTTTTCTTTCATTCTTAAACACTGCTACAAAATTAAGATTTCACGCACAAGAATTCTCAAAGACCCATAAGCACTGTAATTTTTCTTGTTTAAGGTTTCAGATTTTGCAGATAGAGACAGACAAAAGTTTATCATAATGGCTTTATCTTTCACATCTTCATCAGCAGTTCATGGCTCTTCTTTATATTCTTCCTTTGAACAGCCTAAAGGTACTATTTTTCCTTAAAATTCCTGTCTCAGTGTCTTTTCTTTTCCCTTATTTCTGAGTTTTTCCCTAAAATTTGAGAATATTGTCTCTGATTTTTTATTTTATTTTTTTTATCATGGGTGAATTTAGATTCTTTTTTAGATGCACAATTTGGTTCTTCTCAGCCATTGGGTTGGCTTAATCTCCCATCAACTGCGGTGAAATTTTCAAGGCGGCGTTGTGCAGTTAAGCCATTGAACGCTGAGCCAAAGAGGAAGGATTCAATTGTCCCCTCAGCAGCAACTATCGTTGCTCCAGGTACATAGGATTTCACTAGTATCTATCTTTCTGCAAATATATGTGGTTTTATAAGGCAGAAAATGACATATTTGCCTTGTGTTTTCTTGGAATTTTTCAGGGGTGGTTGAAAAAGTAGAGGTAGAAGACTATGAAAAATTGGCTAATGAGCTTGAAAATGCTTCCCCTCTTGAGATTATGGACAAGGCCCTTGAGAAATTTGGGAATGATATTGCCATTGCTTTTAGGTAATTTAATGATGATTGTTTATTTTTATCAAATCAATGAATTTATGCAGATTGTTTTACTAAATGTTGTAATTGTGATTTGTAAGTTGTTTATGTAATTAGTTAAAAATTAAGATAATCCTAGTAGTTTAAAGTATGTTGTTTCAATCTTGGAGCATGTATGGTTGTGCTTATAAGTAATTAATTAAGTTAGTTAATTTGCCAAACATGATTTCAAACTTACGTTTTTACGAAGAAAACATATAATGCATGCGTAATATTGTATATGAAAAGTTGTGTCGAGTACAGTGAATTGGTACGGGGCTCTTCGACCCAAGAGGAAACAAATACAAGAAAGGTAATAACATAAATAGGTATATTTATTGTTTTAAATATGTGTTAATTGAATTTAATTAGCTTTATGGGAAGTATCAAACATAATAATCACTTTTTTGTATTGCTGCATTAAGCTTATTGTAGGAAATGTTTTTCCAGCATGTCAATTAGGTAGACTGTGCCATGCGCTAGAAAATTTTCACAATCTAAATGCTAGTTAGTTACTTGGACATGAAATTGCGGAAAAAAGTGAATGACATGTTTTTATTTTCAATTATTACAGCGGTGCGGAGGATGTTGCCTTGATTGAATATGCACGTTTAACGGGACGACCATTTAGAGTTTTCAGCTTGGACACAGGGAGGTTAAACCCAGAGACATATAAATTCTTTGACAAAGTTGAGAGACACTATGGTATTCGCATCGAATACATGTTTCCCGATGCTGTTGAAGTTCAAGCTTTGGTAAGGAGCAAGGGACTTTTCTCGTTTTACGAGGATGGTCACCAGGAGTGCTGCCGAGTAAGGAAGGTTAGGCCACTGAGAAGGGCCCTCAAGGGGTTGCGTGCATGGATAACTGGACAGCGCAAGGATCAGTCCCCTGGCACTCGGTCGGAAGTCCCGGTTGTCCAGGTAGACCCTGTTTTCGAGGGAATGGATGGTGGGGTTGGAAGTTTGGTGAAGTGGAACCCGGTGGCAAATGTGAAGGGCGAGGATGTTTGGAAGTTCTTACGGACCATGAATGTGCCGGTGAACTCATTGCATGCCAAAGGGTACATCTCGATTGGATGCGAACCGTGCACTCGACCAGTCCTACCCGGGCAACACGAGAGAGAAGGAAGGTGGTGGTGGGAGGATTCCAAGGCCAAGGAATGTGGACTGCATAAAGGCAATATTAAGGAAGAAACCTTAAATGGAAATGGCGCTGTTCATGCAAATGGAACTTCTACGAATGCAGATCTTTTTGTCACTGAGAATGTTGTAAACTTGAGCCGGCCAGGAATTGAGAATTTACTGAAACTGGAAAATAGGAGGGAGCCTTGGGTGGTTGTGCTTTATGCACCTTGGTGCCAATTTTGCCAGGTAAATGCTCCTTTTATTGATAACAATTGTGCTGCTCCTCTATCTTGTGGATCGGGGCTTCTTTGTTAACAATATTTATTGATTCTTGACCAGGCAATGGAAGTTTCATATGTAGAATTGGCTGAGAAGTTGACCGGATCTGGTGTTAAGGTGGGAAAATCCAGGGCAGATGGGGAGGAGAAGGCATTCGCGCAGCAAGAATTGCGGCTAGGGAGCTTTCCTACTATACTTTTCTTCCCTAAGCATTCCTCATATCCCATAAAATATCCCTCTGAGAAGAGAGACGTTGACTCATTGCTGGCTTTTGTGAGCGCCCTCCGATGAAGGCATTAGGGATTAGCTTTAGAGGGAATCACGAGTCCGTGATTCGATCTAATAAAAAAGAAGGGGGTGTTGGGATTACATGACATCAAGGCAAAGTTCTACTCTCACATTGTGGTCCTTCCTGCATAGTGCATACATATTTTTTATTTTTTATTTTTTTAACCCGTTTGGAAGTTGTTGATTTTTAGAGGGCCTCAATTTTGTAAGTTTTGATATGCATTTGAAATAATTATTTGAATCTTGTATTCCCCATCCAGCGTTAAGCCAACTTGTATTCTTATTCTCTCCTTGATTTGAAGCAACGGTCAACAGATGGTATGACGAGTATTAACTGTAAAGCAGGAAAGCTTACTGGAATTCGGATTATGGATTCTTATGGAACATAGTAAAACATTGTCTTTGGTGGTTCGTGTGGCTATGTTCGCATTTGGAATTGATTACGGTGTAGTTTGTCAGTATTATCTTTGTTGGGGTTCGGGTTTTGAGTTCGTACTAATTTGTATTCTCTTTTCTATCAGTGGATTTTTCACGTCATTGCGCTTAAACATAGGTGTAATAACCCAATTTTGGGTTTGCACAACCAGTGGTATCATAAGTTGCTAAACAATAGGGTGCAGGGCTTAGCTTACATAAGCTTTGGGTGATCGAAGTCAACTTTTTTTTTTTTGCCATTATTGAAGTTTGCTTCTTCTAAAATGTTGAAGCTTCCGAGTTTTGGTTTACTTGTATATGCATTGGTAGGAGAACTGGGGAAAAGGAAAAAGTATGAGAAAGCAAGATTATATGCTGTTTCTTATCTTATCTTAAGACAGGTCTATTTTCGTTGGAATTCTTATCAATACAGCTGGAGAATAAGATATTCTTAATCTGTGGTGTAACAAATTTAAGAATGTTTTCCTTGATAATGCTACCAAGATATCAAATCCAATTTCTGATTTTGAAGTTTAAAGATTTTCCCCATTGAGCCGAAAATTGAGGACCTTCAGTAAAAACTTAATGTTAGAGAACAAAGGAATTGTTGATAAATGGTGCACATTTTGAACTGATTTAAGTAAGTGAGATTAAAATGGATCGAAAATAATAACTCTAGATTGTGATTGATTCTCTTTTTCTCAAAATACATTTTTCTTTCCTTTCTATTTAACCACACGTTCTTTAATAAAATAATATTCCACACAAATTCAAAACATTTCCTTATTTTTAATCACACATTTTTCATCAATTTACTATTCTAAAATGTAATTTTTCAATTTAATGGGCCTCAAACAAGTCCCTAACAAGATCTTAACATGTGGAGCAATACTATCTTAATAGTCGAGCGATTGAGAGAGAAAATGTGACATCATAGTGGGAGAGAGTATTTAATAATGTCGTGTCTACATGACTATGTGTAGAACTGTTGCTCAATTTTATCAGTGAACTTAAAGTTATTACAATATTCTGGCTACAATAAGAGATCCCAAAAAAAAAAAAAAAATAAATAATAAAATATCCTTTTTAATGCGTTTCCAAGTCGCATCCTCTTCACCAAAACGAGAGAGAATTGGGTAACTGAAAATCTCAGCACCACTCACTGAGGATGGGCCTCGATTCACCGAACAAAACCTCCTCCACCCACTACATCCCACCAAACATTTCCAATCTAATATATTATTTTCCAAATATCATATATATACTCACTTGAGGAAATATATATGTCAGTGCTAAAGATTCTGAACTAGGCTCCAAGAAAACCAATTTCAAGAAAAAGGAACCCTTTTAGCTTTTGATTCAGTATGCCTTCTTGAATCTCTTGTTTGCATTTTTTCATACAAGCATTTTATTATTCTTATTTTGAATGCTCACAATTGCATCAAGTTTGTGTATTTTTTGCTGCTCCATATGTACTTCTTTGGTTTCTGGTATCAGAGATCTATTTGTATGAATCTCATGGGAAATATTATTGGGATCTGGGTTGGAAATGACGTTTGAATTGGGTTCTATTTTGATTATTTGATTTGATTCTATATGTCTATATTGGATGGCAGAAAATGTAAACATATTTGAACTATCAATTCTATGCTCTATCTACAATTGGGCCAAACGCCAAAGGTTACTTATACATTTTGTCACCTTTGAAGAGGTTTTGGTCCTCTACATTTTGCTCGACGGGTTTAAATTTTATAAACGAATAACCATTCTAAACCTTGATTCCAGATCTGTTTTAACTCCAGAATTAGTTATGCGTATGTGACATCTATTAAGTCACCTTACATATATAAAGGAGTTTCTAGATGGCAATTTCTGGTCAGATACAGATTGAGAGTTGTGAGATCATTGTTCTAATAGTCTTTTTTATAGTGAAAGTCATGTTGCGACAAGTTGAGGATGAATCACTGAAATTTGTGTGTTTGCTAGTGTGCGTTTCTGATATCGTCTCTTACTTTGCTCTTATCTTAATCTATAACGTGATGCTTTTACCAGATATATACAACTATGAGAGGAGGGGGACTGTGGCAACTTGGTCAATCAATTACTCGTCAATTGGCTCAGGCTAATAAGAAGACTATCACTCATCGATGCTTTGCATCTGAAGCTGATCTGAAGAAGACAGTTATGTATGACTTCCATGTTGCCAATGGGGGAAAGATGGTTCCTTTTGCTGGCTGGAGTATGCCAATCCAGTACAAGGACTCAATTATGGACTCCACGTTAAACTGTAGGGAGAATGGTAGCCTTTTTGATGTTTCTCATATGTGTGGTTTAAGTCTCAAGGGGAAGGACTGCATACCATTTCTTGAAAAACTAGTGGTTGCCGATGTTGCTGGTCTTGCACCTGGCACAGGGTCTTTGACAGTTTTCACAAATGAGAAGGGAGGTGCAATTGACGATTCGGTGATAACTAAGGTGACAAATGGCCACATATACTTGGTTGTTAATGCAGGATGTAGAGACAAAGATCTTGCCCATATTGAGGAACATATGAAGTCATTCACATCGAAAGGGGGTGATGTCTCTTGGCACATCCATGATGAGCGGTCCCTTTTGGCCCTTCAGGTCTGTTGTTACATTTTAAAGTTAGCATTTCTTTTGTTTTTGCATCCCATTGAAATATTTAGTTATAAAACTTAAAAGGTATGTAATAAATGAGACCCGTTCATTCTGCCATGGAAAAAGAGACCTATTCTTTGGAATGCTCGAATTCATTGTTGAAAGTGATTGCTTTACATGATAACATTCCATTCTTGTAATGTAACTAGCAGAAGCATTAATACACATCGACATGCGTATTTGTTGCCTCCACATTGTAAAATGACAGAATACAGAAAAAGGGAGGTAGATTTAATCTTCGAACTTCCTTCTCATCCTCAATTTTTGCCCATACATACAGTTTTGGTAATGCATATTGCATTTTACCCGAGCACTTGCCTTTCCTAACACACAGGTTAAACCTATACCTGTTGCGCTCACTTTTAAGTGACCTTTTTTCCACAAGGTTTTTTTTTCCTTTAATAAATGAGTATGTTATGGACAATAAGAAATTAAGAGTAGAACTCAATGTCTACTTATCCATTGTTTTGTCTGCTGAAATTAATTATCACCTGTTGCTTGTCAAGTGAAGATATTTTGTGATGTTTGATTTTCTTTAGGTTGGTTTAATTTTCTCATTGTTGTGTCTGTTGTTTTTCTATTCTTGGGTATTTTCGTTGGGTGCGTGTTAGAGGTGTATATGCGTGTGTGTGTGTGTGTTAGGGGGGCATTCACAAGAATGGTAAGGGAAGGGATACACTAATATATATAGCTTGTTATGTTAAGATCTGGTGCTTATACGACTTCTCTTCATGTCTGGTGCAGGGTCCCCTTGCGGCCCAAGTTCTGCAGCACCTGACAAAAGATGATTTGAGTAAGATTTACTTCAGCGACTTTCGGATCTTGGATATTAATGGTGTCCCCTGCTACCTTACAAGAACTGGGTATGTTATGAGATCTTAGCTGACAGTATGCAAACAGCATCCTCTTCCTCTTAACAAGGATGTGAAAAGAAATGTACTTGACAATGAAAGGATTATTAAGCACTATGTCAAAATAAAAATTCCAAGTTTTTGCTTAACAGAGACTCCTAATGACGTCATGGGGGAGTCAAATAGATTGTCTAATTATATATCTTTGCTTTTCACGTTTCTTCAAGACTCACAATGTTCAGAAGTTAATTTTATGCCAGGCCTTACTTCTTGTATTATGTCTGGCGAGGAGAACTGGACAGTATACCGTACTAAGATTGTAATGTTTAGTTCTATCAAATACAGTTTTACGTTTGAAACTTGCTGTGGAAACAACATTACAAAGTTAACTTTATGAACTTTCAGGTATACAGGTGAAGATGGCTTTGAAATTTCAGTTCCTTCAGAGCATGCTGTTGATCTTGCAAAAGCTATTCTGGAGAAATCTGAAGGTAAGATACGGTTGACAGGTTTAGGCGCCCGAGACAGTCTTCGACTTGAAGCTGGGTTGTGCTTATATGGCAACGACATGGAGCAGCACATAACACCGGTCGAGGCAGGACTTACATGGGCCATAGGGAAGAGACGAAGGGCAGAAGGAGGCTTTCTCGGTGCTGAAGTAATACTCAAACAAATCGAAGAGGGCCCCAAAATAAGGCGAGTTGGTTTTTTCTCCTTGGGTCCGCCAGCCAGAAGTCATAGCGAGGTTCAGGACGACAAAGGACAAAACATAGGAGAAGTCACTAGCGGAGGATTTAGCCCCTGCCTCAAGAAGAACATAGCCATGGGGTACGTAAAATCTGGACAGCACAAGGCAGGCACCAAAGTTAAGGTTGTGATTCGAGGAAAGTCCTACGATGGTTCTGTCACGAAAATGCCTTTCGTACCCACAAAGTACTACAAGCCATCCTAACTTTATGTTGGTTCTTAGAAGTTTTTTAGAATTCCCGACTTTTACATTTGCCTTTTCTTGGTGAACTGATGGTATTTCAATCCAATTTGATGGCTATGATTGAGAATTTGCCTAGTTAATACACATATTTTGTTCGAGTAAAGCCTACCAAGAAAAAACAGTATTTATCTACAATGGGTAGGATAATTGTACGAAAATTGTCACGCGCACAGCTAAAGAAGTATGCTTTCGCCCTTACATTATTCTAAGTTCACATTTACGCTCGAGATGGCAAAAAAGCCCGATACCCGTGGGGTCCCACCCCGAATGAGAAAAGGAATACCCGTCTAACCGGGTACGTGGAACGGGTATGGGATGAGGGTCATTGCCCCGAAGCGGGTATGGGATGGGTACGGGAAACATACTCCCCACCCCGTTACCCGCCCCATTTAATATTAATTTCAAATATAAGTTTATATCAAACAAAAATAATTGATTTATCATCATTTTTAAAGAGAACATAAGTTGTTTTTAATAAATTGGGGAAAAAGTAATAATATTTATTAACTAAGAACATAAAAAAATAAAAGCCAAAAAAAAAAAATAAAAAGAAAAAATAAATGGGGCGTTAAATGGGGCATGAGACTTGCCCTGCCCCGCCCCGCCCCCGTCCCGCTCCCTATCCGTCCCCGACTTAAAAGGGTATGGGACGTGAAAATATCTAGTGCGGCAGGGTGGGGAAGGGTGCCTGATCCATACCCGTTCCGTTGTCATCACTAATTTACGCGTCCTTTAAGTTATTTATTATGTCGGCATTACAACTGAAAGTTTTTGGCGGACTCATTTTATATAAATAACTGAGATGCCAACTACCCATCAGCTGCCAATCTCTGTGTCGACACAATTTATCCTAATTAAAAAATTTGGCGCCATTTTAGATGAGTCATTTATTAATTTTCCTAACAACAATTATTATTTTATTCAGTAATATTTCATAACCCAATTTTGACCTATGTAAAATGATCTGTTTCCTTCATTCAAGGCCTTTTTTTTTTTTTTTTTTTTTTTTTTTTTTTTTTTTTTTTTTTCCCCCTTTATGATCTGTTTCCTTCATTCAAGGCCTTTTTTTTTTTTTTTTTTTTTTTTTTTTTTTACCTTGGTTTCCACCTTACAGTGACTAATCCTGGGGTCTACGATCCAGCCCCTCTTCACGCAGACCAGGTAAACCCCGGGTTGTGTCCCAAACTGGCCAGGGTCCAAGAGCCCCCCAATTGAACTGCCGAAGTGTCAAGCGAGTCAAACTCATGTATACGCCTTGCCTTCCAAGGAACTCCTGCCTTCCAGGAGAAAGATTTGCCTTCCAAAAGCCCCATGAATCGAACTCGTGACCTCTGAACTGCCTGCCTTAAAGAATTCCGTCTTTTGTCAGTTGGGATATGCCCCGAAGGGGCATTCTCGGCCTTTTGCTCAGTGCAAGCAACGATTGATGGTTAAATAACTCATTTACTAATACTATTTCGTAATAATAACAAATGAATGTTGAGTCTTTGAACCATAATGCAAAATGATGAAAGAACTTAGAAATTTGCATTTTGAGATTGTAATAAAGCCAATGTGATAAAGAACATTGTGTTTCAACAATGAAGGTGACAGGCAACACGGTTGTGGTAGAGCCATGAAGTTGAGGCCATTGTTATTTCTTTCTTCTTCTTTATTCTTTTTTTTTTTTTTTTAAATATTTTTGAAAACGATGTAGATGAAAAAATAATAATAATAATAATCTTGATATACATGGTCACATACAAGTCATGGACCGTTCATGCCGTGAAGACCAATGTGTGGACCTAAAAAAAAATAAAATTGAGGGGTATATATGCCCTTGTTTGACCTCCGTTTAGGTAAAAAAAAAAAAATTGCATTTTTGGATGGTATATTTATGAAAAATTTGTGGTTAATAAATAAAGAAAAGTCATGTATTTGCGTGTAATATTATTTTATTAAAGAGTGTAGGATTGAAATAGTGTCAAATTACTGATGAATAATGCATTTTGGTGGAAAAATGGAAATCAAACAAGGGTATAGTTGGAAAAAAAAAATTATTGGCGAATGCAAGTACTCTTCAAATTTCCTTTGATTTGTGTGAACAACCAATTCTTAAGTATTCATCAATTCGACTTGACCCGTTTCCGACCCCACCTGTTTAAATAAAATGGTATGATTGGGAGTTCGGATCTTGCTTACAACAAATTGTGAAACCCCAGTCCCCTCTCTCTTTCAGGTTTCATTCCTTGGATCAATCTATACTTAGTCCTTAAATCCCAGCCCTCAATTTCCCTCGCAACATCAAATCTCAACTGTCCAGAAAAGGAGGGAGAAAATGATCCAATTGCTCTTTACTCTGATATTCGCGGAAATGGCACTGATCGTGATCTTTGTGTTCAAAACGCCATTTAGGAAGCTGGCTATAATGGGCCTTGACCGGGTCAAGAGGGGACGCGGCCCAATTGTGGTCAAGACTGTGGCGGGGACTATTTTTATAGTGATGGTGTCTAGCGGGTACAATGTGGTGGCGATCCATAGGCGTTGGATTGATGATGGTGACGTCAACACTACTGATCAGATTCTTCTTGCTAAGCATCTTCTTGAAGCTTCTCTCATGGGTAATAGTTGTTTTTCAATTTTAGTCCCTTACTCTATGAAATCTGAAATTTTCACAAAAATATGCTGCACTGCAAAATCTATATGTTATAAAGATTACCTGTTGTTGGTAACTGTGAATTACTGATAGATTGCATGTAATCGTGGCTATTTATTTTTAATTGTGTGTTCTTGTTGTTTGTTTTTGAGTTAAATGTTTCTATTGTATAAAAAATTGTATTTACTATTGTAAAATTTTTAACTTTCCTTGTAGAAGTTTCATAATTAGGTTAATTTCTCTTTCACAATGGCTAATTGGTCAGGAAGTTTAAAACCATAAAAAGGGTGTCGGGAAAAGATTAAGAAGCTTGGATTTGAGTGAATCTCACGGCATGTTATTGCATTTTATTCGTGAACAGAAAGCTACTCAAAAGCACTTACACTCCAGCAAATCAATGTCACGTAATCTCCTTTGTGAAACTTGGTTGATTGGCTTAATTGGATTATTTTCCTTGAAATATTAACTATCTAGCGTGAATTTGCCTTTCTCGTTAATGGCTTATATATGTGGGAAAGCTATACATTTTTGCGTTGAACATTGTACTAAATTTGTGTTTCATCTTTCTTAGCACATGTTTGGGTTTGCATATAAGTGCTTAAATGTACAGGGCCCACTACTTTTTGCGTGTCTTAAAATAAACAAATTGTGTGTCTCATGCAATAACTGTGGCTCCTACTTTATGTACTTCTTAAAAAGCAGCTTCTAAACCTAACCATACAAGCACATATTAAAAAAAAAAAAAAAAAAGTAAAGTCATATTCATAATTTAACTTTGTTAATGCTGCATAGGACATCTCAGGAGAAATTTCATTTGTATTGAACTCATGTCCAAACTGATATTCAGTGTCACGTTTTGGTAATTTGACTTGCTATAAACATCTACTATCATCTACTAGTGGAGACAAAGTACCCCTAATGGTCTAATACTTGTGCCTAAATCATGACCAAAGAAATTTGTTTTTAGAGTATAGATTGTGAGGACATAGTAGATCAGGATTTAGCTCCAATTGATGTTTATTCCAAATCACACACCAGAAGCTCTCATTTCCAATATATCTAGGGCAATAGTTGAGTAATTTGTTTGTCGTCAGATATGATTTGGGCATAATAATTGATATGTGGAGACTCTTGAGTACATGCCCATTTTGAATTTCAACTTGCTGACGAAGGATTATTTTGTATTTTACACTTGCGGAAATTAAGGGGCTGTTCTCTTCGTATTTCAATTTTGTATTTTGAGTTTTGAATTCATTTTGGATTTTGTGTTTTGAGTGCCTATTTTGAAATTGTTGAAAATGTGTTCTTTTTGTCATTCTTCAAAACCGTTTCTCAAAACGAAAAAGGGGAAAACACATTTACTTTGAAATTTTGAAAATATTTTTTTATACTACTATATTCAAGAAACTACCACAAAGCTGCTGCCACCACCTCCAATCCACTACCAACCAAAATCAACACAATCACCATCTCCACCACCAATCACCATTGCTGACACAGTTCACCACCACCGCCACCCACAACCACCATCAACCATTGTCGACACAGAAAACACCAAAAACAGCGAAGAAAGAAGAACCATAGAGGAGGGAAGAAGACTGGGACACAAAGGAGGGAAGAAGACCATGATTCAATTAATCAATTCAACCACCATGAACCATCAATTCATCAATTTAACCACCATGAACCATCAATTCACCAAAATCAACCACTGCCAGTCTGCCAAAGTCAACACCATCCACCGTACCACAACACCATCGTCGACTAAAACCACCACAAATAGAACACTACCGCCTGCTCGCCGCCACCACCAATGCCCATTGCCGCCAAATCGAAACAACCAAAAAGCCCCCCCAAAAGCGCAAATCGAAAAGAGGGCGAACTACAGCTTCGCGCTGCTACAAACCTCGCCTCCCCGCGTTTGCAGTCGGCGTCAAGAGAGAGGAGATGGAGACGGTCGCCAGCGTCGAGCAGAGAGAAGAGAGAAGGAAGAGATGGCTTGAGAGAAGGAAGAAGGAAGAGAGACGAGAGATGGGTCACTATGATTTTCCGTTTTTCGCGTTTTGGTGTTTTGGTGGGTTTTGTGAAGAAAATGTCCAAAACATCAATTTGCCCGTTTTGTGTTTTCTTCACAAAATTTTTTTTTGTTTTGGAAAACACATTATCAAAAATGGGAAGAAGAACGTGTTTTCAACGTTTTGAAAAATCAAAAATAGAAAACGGCTCGAAAACGCCAAAGAGAACAACCCCTAAATTTTTCCTTCAAATCCGGTTAACATGTAACTTGAGAAAGAAGACTTGCAAGAGTTATGACTATATTATTCTTTCATTGACTGAAATAAGGCGCTCGTGTTCACAACCTTGTAATTTGTAAAAATTGTTGCAGGGTTTTCCTTGTTCCTAGCATTTATGATTGATAGACTACATCATTATATCCGAGAACTTCGCGTAAGAAGGAAGAGCATGGAAGCTGTAAAGCAACAGAACCGAGCTTTTGAGGATGAAAAGACTCCCGTTTCCGAGGAAGTCATAGCCTTGAAACTAGAGAAGACTACATCGCATGAAAGGATTAAGCAGTTGGAGTCAAAGCTCGAGGAAAAGATTAAAGAGGCAAACAGTGCAGAAGCCAATGCTACAGCTTTAAAGAAACAATCAGAAGGATTTCTTCTTGAATATGATCGCCTGCTTGAGGAAAATCAGAACCTTCGAACCCAGTTGCAATCTCTAGATAAAAAATTGTCACATTCCAATAGCAAAAAGGTTATTTAAAGAAACATGTCTTGTGTTTTTTCTTTATTATTCCGAATTTTGTGTCTTATGGTTAAAAGGAGGGTCTCATAGGAAGAAAAAATGAAGAACGTAGATAGCGAAAATCATACATCCTCTCCGTGATGGTTTGCTCAATTTTTTGTCTGAACAAAATTGCGAAGTTATAGCATGGAGAAATATTGATGATTATTTGGAAAATTACTGTTGTGTAATGTAGGTTCAATTGATCTTATTGGAGTTGTATCATAAATTTGACTAATGAGGCTAAGATTGAGCTCTGAAGGAACCCTTTTTTTTTTTTCTTTTTTTTCTTTTTTTTAGTTCTGGGAGGCATTGTTCATTGGGAAAAATTCACTGGGTAGCAATTCAATTTTCATGTTTTAACTTTCAAAATTCAAAACTCGGTTATTTATTAATTAAATATATTTTGATCACAATTATGAAATTAATGGTCAAAGGTGCGTACTTATAGGTCACAACGTCACATATTATCAAGTTAATTGGTTACTAGCAAAAAATTTGATAAGTCAAAATTTATTTCATCGATTACAAATCAAAAAATTTATAAGTTATAATTTATTTGTTAATAACAGATTTTCAAATTAGTTGATCACAAATTATTTTTCATTCACAAATTATCGAATTTTTATGTCAATCAAATAGTTGGTTACAAATAACCAAATAGTTGATTATGGATTAAGCAAATAGTTGGTCACGTGTCACCACCACCACGATCACTTGCGACCACCCCTCGCCATCCTACGATATTTTTTGCTATCGTGGTGGTGGTGTGTGCTGTAGATTAATAGGATGGTGGCAAATAGTTGATGGTTATTTATAAATTTTAAATAATAATAATAATAATTTTATAAAAATAATTTAATCTACAGCACACACCACCATAAATCATTTTTTCATTTATATTCTCTTTATCTATCATCTTCGTCGTCGAGAGATCCACCATCGGCGCATAGCAATCAATGACACAGTAATAGCGTTGTTGGAAGCCACAACAGCAACGTCACAAACAAAGGTGATGACAATGAGCGCGGCACCTAGCGCATGCTCACAGTGGGAGATGACAGCGCTGCTGTGTTCGACGTTGCTGCAGTAGTCGTGCTCGTTGCTAGGCGCCTCGTGCACAGCGTCGCTCGAAGCCAACATTCTTTATTCTTTCAGTTATATTATGTTTTGTTTACGGTGGCTATGTAGTGATTTTAGATTTGTGATGGGTTTTTGTGGATGTTGTTTGCACGTGGTCATAGTGGTGGCAAAGGTTTGGGGATTTTTTAGTGGGGATTGTGGTTGCGGTGTGGTGTAGTGGAGATGAAGATAGAGGAGATGGTAGCTGTGATTTTTGGTTCAGGTGATGGTGGTGGTGGTCGCGACTGTGATGGAGATGGTAATGGTGAGATGATTGTAGCGATGTCATGGTTGTCATTGTGGAATGGTTGCGATGACGATGGCGATCGTGGTGGTGGCGATGAGGGCGACGATAGCGGTGGTGATGGTAGGTTTGAGGATTTTTTTGTTGGTGATGGTGAGATGGTGGTTTCGATGGTTGTGATGGGGCTGTGTTGGGTTGGGGTTGTCTAAAGAGGGATTATGATCAATTATTTAGTTATTGTGCCAAATAAATTCATTAATTTGTTATTAATAAATAATATGTGATCAATTATTTGATATTGTGACCAATATATTGAATATTTTGTGACTAATAAATAATATGTGACTGAAAAATAATTTGTCACCGGTTATTTCGATAATTTGTCACCAAATAATATATAATTGTGATCTTAATACATTGAATTAATAAAATATATTTTTAATTAATTATTTCATAAATAAAAATTAATTAATTCCTGATTTTTAAAATTTGAAACATTGTTTCTTAATTTTGAAATAGATCATATTTAATTTCTTAGATATGAACTTTTCCCCTTTTCCCTGCATCTTGTAGTTATTGGTCTAGTGTTGATTTTGAAGGCCGAGCAAGAATACACTCGCGGCTGGTCAAATTTTTATTGGGCCTTTTTTTCGGCCTCTTTTATGGTTAATATTTTCAAAACATGAACCGGAGAAGAGTCAGGCCACCACCCCTGCTGGAACCAGAGACGGGTATAAGGGGGGCTGGGCTGTAGCCCCCTCCCTTCAGGCTCAAGAGTTTTTTTTTAAAGTATTTTTTATTTTTTTTTGGCGTAAAAAATTAATTTTTTATGCGTAAAATTTTTTTTTTCCATATAGTAGCTCGATTTGAAATTTTGTAGTCCGATCTTGAATCCAATCCTGGATCCGTCCATGGAACAATCCTCCTCCAGTCCCCACTCACCAAGCTTCTCTCCTCACCCATTCCCACCACCATCATTTCTGCAACCCACGATCACCATCGCAAACCACTTATTCTCGCCACCACGTTTGATCATTAACAAAAAAAAGGCTAAGAAAACAGCTCTTCTCCACAGCCGCCAGCAGCCCACACCTGCAAAACCATAACTTTTCAACTGTATTATTGAATTCTTTTAAAATTACCTTTTTTTTTCTTTTCTTTTAAGCGGGCTCAGCTAAAGTGATGGGCCTAATGATCCAATTTTTCAAAAAAGATTTCGACACAAGGGACGGGAACCGGACTAAGAAGATGAAATGATTATATAATTAACAAAGTAGTCAATGATTATTTTTCTCCCTCCCCATTGTTTATATCACAGATATAACCATGTGGAATCACAAGGTGAGAATCATTGGAAAGCATTCCTACATGTAAAGAATGGTGCCCACTGGTGCAATTTTCTGAAGTATTTTTCTGTACAAGCAGATTAAATCGGTAAAGATAGTTGTACAGTGAATGTAGTACAACCGTGACACCCAAAGTCAAACATTTAATTGTGTTTTAAATATTTTATGCAAATATGATTGGTAGGCACATCTTATGGTATGTGTGCACGAAAGTGAATAACGTATCTCACTTCTCCAATAAAATACTCAAAAATATCTAATTCATTGACTAATATTTTTCCACGTGATTATTTAAAACCAGCTTATTTCCCGTCATTATCAGATTTGATTTCGGTAAAATTTTCAATTTGAAAGTTAGCTAATCCAATTTTACATGGCGTGTTTCAGTAAGCATGTGATGCGTCGGTGGACGATGAGGTGACCGGAATTCTGTTGGTCACTCGATCGGGCAGATTTTACGATCAACAAATATTAGAACAGGTTAAATGTGCAAAGGTGAGCATGCATGCACTTGGGATTGCATGCATTTACAAGTAAAAATTAACCATAGTTTATTTTTCATGCTCATAGAGCCGAAAAGTTATGAAAGAGGCACATTCACAGGCGTAAACTGCCCGTTCCTCGACGTGATTATCTGACATTCTTGATTGAAGATTCGTAAGGGCTGGATTTGTTGACTCAGAATATACGTTTGATTATTTTAACATAGTTTTTGTAGGTCAGAATTGAGTTTCCACCAAAAATACTCAACTAATAAAATCAAAATTTTCCAAACCAGAAACAGAAAATAAAGAACACGAGATTTTTCGGCCAAAGGCCCCGGAAGTTCATCGACCGCTTAGTCTCCCGTTGAACATTCATAAAGGATTAAGCTCGAATCCACTAAATTCGCCAAAATAGGTAAGGTTCAATTTACATAACACAAAGCTCCCAGAAATCACAAGTACAACACAATCGTCCCACAGTAGAAATCACACAAGAGTTTCTCTACTAATTCTCTCAAAATCACACTCGGTATTTTCAGAGAAGACCAAAAATTAGAACGGAGAAGATGAGAAGGCATGCAGCCAAGAAAGCCCTCAGAATACAGAACGTAACCCTAAAAAATCTCAAGACGCATATTTATATGAGAGCAAAAGATCCAACAGCTGATGTTCTGCCACTTGTCTTCAATCCACACAAACCGTTTCATTAGACTAAAGATGCGTTTTGAAATCGCGATTTCAAACTTTCCAGATTCCTCCATTTGCAGGTCATCATGTTCGCTTTATAATGGACTGTCTTTGAACAAGTGGACTGGACTCACAAAAACAGCAACCCAAAACTTACAGTCTTCGATCTCACTAAAACAAATGGTGTAAATAATAATGCGACGTGTATATACTAAAACATGGAACGAGAAAAGAAAGTAACTTTTTTGTCTGAGGGGTAATTAATACATATATTCAAAAAGCATGAACACGTTATTTGGAATTATCGTTGGCTGAGTTGTCACTGTCGACTGGATGTGCGCCACCAATGATGGAGGTGATTGCGGCGGCAAGGGCGGAAGTGAAATTAGGATCGGCGGCAATGGCTGCCGTTGTAACTTTAAGTGTGTCGCTAAAGGACTGGTGGTGCTCCGCCTGGCTTGGCAAGGTGGATTTGATATCCTGAGACACATGGAGCCCCGAATATTTCGACCCAAAAACTTGAGTCATTGGCAGTGGATAAGGGAATTGGAATTGGGCAGGTGATTCCCTATGGAACTGTAATGAATTTTGAGGTTGTGTGAGGTCTAATGTAACAGTTGGAAATGGAGCGGAAGCTGAAATTGTAGCAATGTTAGACGAATAAGGAAGAATAGTTCTCGCCGGAGAAATTGTATTCATTAACCCATCAGTATTCGTGGTGGATCCGGAAAGAAGCATATTGGCGGCGGCAGAGGTGGTGGAAGCCATAGCCATGGCAGCCGGAGGCAGTGGATGATTATGTTGACCTTCATAGCTTGTAATCAAGATTGTTTGGTCCTCGGCACACCTTTGAACCTTGAGATGAAATCGATGGGATATTAGAGTCAAAAGAAAAAGTTCAACAACCATCAAAATAGTAATGAGGATTGTATTAATCCTATCCACTTTAACCTCAGTTCTAAAATATTATCATTAAAACATTCAAATTTATAGATTTTGCCAAGTAAATGAACATGAACATACATGTTTGCGTACTGGACAACCAACTGCCATAGTGCAACGATAATAAGCTCGTGGACATGGATTTCCTTTTGCCATTTTTTGTCCATATTTTCTCCATTGGCATCCATCAGATATCTGTAATTCACATATGGATTTAGCTCCATGATAACAACGTATGATGATGACTATAACAGCAAACTAATCCTTTTTCTCAATAAAATTTTGAGTAGATGTCACATTTTTTTACTTGATATGATTTATAACTCAATTTTACTGCTTATTCATTAAAAAAAATAAGTAAGTACCATTGGAGCTTCTGATCTTGCTCTAACTGAAACCCTAGTTTTTTTCACGGTAGACTCAGGTAAACGATCGAGAAGCTTCGAGGGATTCAATTTCAGAACCTTGAGAGGAGCCAAGGAGTCTGATTCCAGGCTCTCTTCCCTTCCAATCCTTTTATTACTTAACAATTCCATGTTGTTGTGAGGTGATTCAGAGAGTATTCTTTCTTCTGATGAAGAATTTGATGGTTCATCCGTCTCATTCACCGCAGCCGGGGCCAAGTCCATGAACTGTCTTGAAACTCTCGATTCTACATTTTTCTCTTTCTTCTCTTGAGATTTTCTTTCCCCAATCTAAACAAATAGCAAAATATTAACAATCGATTATCGCAGACTTAATAAAGTTTTCTTACATAATCCTCCTCAGACGAGGATTACCTTCCTTTTTTCTTCACTTGAATTTTGTTGTTGGTGCATGAGTGCTTCAAGCTGCATATTTAGTGCATTATAATTGTTGTTGACCTGAGTAAACATCCCTCTTAATTTCTGATTTTCGGAATTCATTCTTTGAAGCTCAACTTGCAATTCTGCCAACTTAATTAATCCAGAAATATGCAAAAAGAACCAAATAAGAATTCAGAGCTTGTAAGGCTAATAATATTATGCATTAATCTTATTATCTCCTTACTTCATTCTTGTCTAGCTTATTATCCTCCACCCTATCTCGATCTGATGAAATCCCGTCTTCTACCGTTGATTGATCACTTCCAGGATTAACAGTAAGAAGTTGCAAACCAGTCTATATTTAAAGCAAAAGCAGAAACAGATAAATAGTTACAATTAATTTAATAACTTAAGCTTTTAGATGAATGGAATTAAAATCGAACATGCAGACGAGATATATAGACTACATACATTCAACTCTAATTCTCTTGGGGTGACTGAATCATCTTCCTTGTTGACAACAGCAATATGAATATGATCAGTCTTATCAGAAAAGAAGTCTACTTCACCTAAAGCCATAGACGATGAACTCGCTTGATCTTCCCTACGATTCAAATTCACAAGAACCATGGAATCCTTAGTATGAAGATTCAAATCAAATGAATTGAATTCTTAAAAGTGTAGACTGCAAAGTTAAAGGTTTTGGGTGGTGGGGTGGGGTATATGACAAAGTTACGTAAGCTGGAGCGTCAGGGTTGGTTGCCACGTGGCAACTGAGCCACAATTTTAGACAGAGAAATTTTAGGATCTGTGATTTGGCCCTGTCTGACTGGCAAAACCCGAAAATTTAAGAGAGAGAGAGAGAGAGGGTGATTCCGTGTGAATTTCGTCAAGACTGAGTTTGACTCGTTCGCTATTGAAAAAAAGGGGATAATTAGGAAAATAAAAATAAAAATCCATATCGTTTGTACTCATTGCGAAAATTGTCCCTATCATTTTGAACCTACTATTTACACCCTCATTTCAAACATTTCTTGTAAAATTGGTCCTTTCCGTCATATTCCGTTAAATATGTGTAATTTGATATAAAGGTCCTTATTGTTTGCTGTAATTGCGCAAATAGTTCTTATCATTTCAATTTTGACATTTGGATATTCAGATCGATATTTCTTCGCTTAAAAGGCCATTGCGTCTATTTTTTTCATTATAACATTATGAAATGACTAATTTATTATCATTTTTAAATAAACAAATAGAAAAAAGAAATAATATAAAAAAATTGTATCTAGAGTTTCTAATTTTTTTAAAAAATTACAAACAAATCTCACATAAAAAAATTTAGAACATTCTAATTAAAAATATTTTATATTCCTAAATAACCCACCTACCCCTACCCATATGCCTATCCTCTACCACCACCATCACCACCAAAATAATTAAAAAAAAGAATTAAAAGTATAAAAAAAAATATTTGATGAGGAATAAACACCATTTTGTTTTTATAATTTTTTTTCGATTTTTAATTCTTTTTTTACCTTTATTGTGTTGTTAATTATATCTGTAATTAATTTTGCGGTGGTGATGGAGTGTAGGGGATGACCGTAGGATATGCCGTATGTGGGTTAATTGGGAAGATGAAATGTTTTTGTTTACTAGAATGTTTCAAATGATTTTTTTGATACTCATTTGTACTTTTTTTAAAAATTAGAAATTTTAGATACAATTTGTTTATATTATTTCTATTTTCTATTTGGTTATTTAAAGATGATGATAAATTAATCATTTTGTAATGTTATAATGGAGAAAATTGATGGTAAAGACCTTTTAAACAAAAGAAATATCAATATGAGTGTCCAAATGTCAAAATTGAAATGATAGGAATTATTTGCGCAATTAAAGCAAATGATAAGAGCATTTTGTATCAAATTACACATATTTAACTGAATGATTTAATGGAATATGACGGAAAAGACCAATTCTACAAGAAATGTTTGAAATTAGGGTGTCAATAGCATGTTTAAAACAATAGGAACCATTTTCACAATAAGTACAAACGTTAGGGATTTTGTTTTTGCTAAATACCCAAAAAAAGGAGGGAGGTGGTAATGATAAAACACCGGCCCCGATACATGCGGCGGGTTCCACGTGATGAAAAATGGAAAAGAGAAAGTCAACGGATTTGACGGTCGTATCTTTTGTAGGTGGCTGACGACTCGGCCAGTGTGTGTGTAATTTTGGTGGCGCGTAGTATATACTTGTGTGTTGGCGATAGATTGGTCAACCGAGGACTGCGTCACTTGCTTTTAAGCTCCGAGACTTGGATTAAAACGACGATTTTTTACCGTCGCTGTTTGCCTGTGTCTAAAATTAATCTTAGTAATAATTTTGTAGTATAATTAATCAAATAAATCTCAATTTTGGAAGAAATTTTACATGAATTTAAAAAAAATAAATAAAAAAAAAACTTTCAACCCCTCAAATCAGACTGAAACCAAAATTTTGAAATACTAGGTTTGGTAACACTTCTGTTTGAAATCGAACTGAATCATTGAGAAAAAGTTCAGTTTAGATTTTAATATATAATTAAAAACATTTCAAACTAAATTGAACAATTCATCTAATTTTCTGAAAAAAATACTTATTTTACTTAAAATATATGATTTATTAGCGCAACTTATATTTTAACGAATTTACCTACTTGTAACATTTTATTGGCTCTTTAGGAAAACAATGATTTATGATATATAGATAATATGTTTCTTATCTATTTAGGAAAAAATGCATTTTGGAAGCTTAAATATTATAGTTTAACTTTGCATTGTTTTATTGCTTTATGTTTGTACTGAGACAAATATATTAATAGTGTAATTTTGTTATTTATAAGGTTTCAATTTAAGTGTTATATTGATATTTTAGATCTATACATTTATTTTTTCACTTGTTTGAAAGATGTTATTTTTATATTGTTAAAATCGTGATTTTAAGTCAAACCAAATAACAAAAATGATTTGGTTTGATATTGTTTTTGAACTTTTCAAATCGTTTAAAAATATTTGATTTGAAAATAGTTCTAAAATTATTGAAATTGAACAGTAGTCATATCTAATGCAAAGTAAACACGTGATGAACTAGGTTGGTCGCCGTGGTGGAATGGGCTAAGCCCCTGTTTGACCCCCATTTTCTAGAAATGAAAATGGACGGAATAGTGTTTTTTAAAAAATGAGTGGTTGAAAAAAAAGGAAAAATTTTCGATTTACGTGTAATATTATTTTATGGAAGATTATGTAATTGAAAATAAGAAAGAGAAAAATAGAATGTAATGTAATGTAATTTAATGGAGGGCAAACAGTGGCTGATACAAAGGAATATCTATGCAACTATACTTGAGGTATAATGAATAGGACGAAGTGACAAAAAATAATTCTTGTAACTGAGATGAAATGTACTAAACACGAGATTAATTTTTAATTCTCGTTGTTTAATAAAAAAATATTAATTTATTGAATTGAATAAAATTTGAGAGAATTATTTTATTTGGACTAAAATTAAAATCCATATTCAAATAACGAAACATTGACTATTGCAGTTAGCTGATGCAGTCCAGTTGTTAATTTCAGTAGTTTGTTAATTCTTTGCAGTCTCCCTATTGGTAGTCAATTTTTTCATCATTTTTAAGTTAATAATTCTAAGTTATTATTTTCAATGGTAAAACCATATTTGATGGAGAAATAAATATTTTGTCAAATCAAACCAAAAAAAAAGAAAAAGAAAAAGAAAAAGAAAAAAGAGTGGAGTTGAATGGGATTTACGCTGACCACAAACCAACAACCACGTGGCTTATTCTATGACGTGGAAAATTTGGGTTTTGGTTAGGTTTAATTGGAGCAAAATTTTGACTATGAAATGAAGATCCACTAATTCTTTGGACACTTTCATCAAGCAACATAGAGAGAGAATTGGGATTTGTTTCATATTCACACACAATTTTGTTTCAGATATGTAATATTATGTATTTACCTATTGAATATTAAGTCTGTTTGACCGCTATTATTGTGTAAAAATGATGTTTTAATTGTGATTTCTTTTTTTCAGAATGTATTATTAAAAGTAGGAAATTTTGAATTTACTTGCAAAATATTTTATTATATGTATGTGTGGTTAAAAATAAGTATAAAAAATAAATTGCTATGTCTTAAAGGGAGTCAAACATGAGCTAAATCGTAATGTAGTTAACTATATTTTAACCTATTACAAATTAACACTTGAATTTATAATCTACAAACGTCTAAACTTCTTCAATAATATGTTCAGAGTTCACAATATAGCTTACTAACGAGCCAATATCCAATTTCTTATTTGTGCATAGGTTTTGATTCTATTGAAAATATTACACTCGTCTCAACCATTTTACGGCTATGATGACATGGTCGGGAAATTTATCGAAATAGATGGAAAAGGCAATTTTTTAGTGCATAGAGCGAAAGGAGAAATTAACGTGCCAAGATTTATGAAGAGATCTCCTCAAGACATTTGATATAACATTAGAAAAAAATTAATTAGGAGTCCAACGTATTTTACATATCTCATTTCAGATTTATGTACAAAAGGTAAATAGCATTTCCCTCTGAACTACAAGGCTGAGCACACAGTTGTCGCTCGAGCAACTATTTTTAACTACAAATTTTTAAACACGATTTTACGTTAAATTCGTGTCTATAATATTAATAAAATCCTTGTACTCTGAATTAAATGAAAATAAGAAGCACTCGTAACAATCCATTACTCACAATCATAGAATAAATTAAGTACATAACTATCGACACTCAACAATGACAAACTCCATCAATATTTCAGCAAAATCATACAGAGTGTTTTCAAAAAAAAAAAATTACTCAACACCACCTTCCATCTTCCTGAATGAAATTCAAACAAAAGTATCAATGCAGAAAACAATAACATTAACTTGATTTAATTAATGAAAAACTCGTACAATAATTAAAAAACAAAATAAATAGATATATGAAACAGGCAGTTTCTACATTATCATTGATCAGCATGGTTGATGAACATGACACTGTAGAGGACCAGCATCAGAAGTCAAAACAGGAACCAATGATCCTGCATCAGCATCAAAGGATTGGGAGTTGAAGTAAAGGGGAGATGAATATCCCCATCCTGATTGAACAAAATAAGCTCCATTTACAAATACATCCTTTGAAGATCTCCATTTCCAGTTCTTCCAATAGCCCTTACCCTCATGTGTCTCTCTCTTTGTAACCTGCATGTACACACACCCAAAAAATGTTCCAAATTTTTTAATAAAGCTCGTCGAAGATTAAATTTGAGTAAATAGATGTATGTTGTCCCTTCTGTGAGATTTTAAGCTCGGGCATTGAGTTCATGTCTTAACGCTACACGTGATAATAATTCTACGTGTGTTGAGACTTTTGATGACATGTGAGGGTACGTGTTGAAGATTAAATGAATTATATAAATATGTTCCATTTTAAAAGTTTAAGTTTTTATGTGGGATTGATTAACGCTGTACTAACTGTTTCAAGTCTTGCTTTATTAAATTTAAACTCGTATCGAACATTTGATGGCACGTGATGGTGATATCGAAGACTAAATTTAAACAAATTTAATAATTACATTCCATATCTAAATTTTGATCA